ACTGAGTAGATCTTTAGCCTAACTTATAACATGCACATCATACTATAATACATATAACAACAACTCAAATACAACATATAAATCAAGTACGAATATTTTAGAAAATCACTTTTTTGAGCTCCGGCTGACTGTACACATCGTATATTCTCTTTTCTTCTCTTGGAATGAATCTTTTCCAAAAAGGTTTAGTAAGACTCTAAGATGTATAGTTTGAGTTTATAATACCATGAGTGTTCATCCAAAGGGCTCTGATACCAACTTGTAACATCCCAAAATTCCAGGCTAAAATTTTCATTTTTAAAATAATATAAACCATTGATGTGTGTGTATAGTCCCGCCTTCGCAATCTGATAAGTACCTGTAAAATATTTAATCCACAATTGTAAGCACAAAGCTTAGTGAGTTCCTCAAAATATCACATACAACACAAAATAATAATCAACTATGGTTATCAGCAGCCCTGGAACTATCAAAAGTCCTGAATATCACATACAACACACAATATAAATAATTATGGATTATCAACAACCCTGGGGACTATCAGCAGTCCCAGTGGGCTAATAGCACACCCTGTAGATTAACAGCACACCTCACCACTTATCTGCAACTCTGGGGACTATCAGCAGTCACATGGACTCACGGTAGTCCTGGAGTTATTAGAAACTCAGTTCACATATAACAACGATCAACAAATAAGACCCAACTAGCCAGCATGTATATACTACCACACAGGTAGATATAGTGATAAGACTCATATGAACGAAGAGCTAAAATCCACTACTCTAAGTTCCATAGAATCAGCTATATGAACCTCCTAAACCAATCACAAGCTAAACCTCGGACTAAAGCTCAACACCTCTCTAAGTTTGACCAGAAGTCAAACCGGTCAAAAAGTCAATGGTCAAGCTCAAAGTCAACATCCAAAGTTAACACTCAACATCACTAACAGCTGGTTCTCATGTCATGACCAACCCATGGTCACGTCGTGGCCAATAACTCAGCCTCGATCTAAAACTCAAGATTCGAACAACTCAGCCGCGATCAAAACCATTGTCACGTCATGATGGCCACGTCGTGACAGAGTCCGTCCAAAACAATCGGGAAACCCCATCGTCACGTCGTGACCTCCATATGGTCACGTCGTGACTACAACAATTATGGACAACTTAATACATTCAACCCTTAATCCTTTAGGCAATCCATTCCAACTTTCTAGAGGGCCTTCTTATTCCAAAAACATTCTAAAAATCAATGCTTTGTAGACATGCATGTCCAATGCATGTATTGATCTCTTATTAGGTAAAAATGATGAAAAAATGGAACCACAAACACATGAATGCCTTCAAAACTTAGCCAAACTTCATATCCAACATAAATAATAGTTAAGGGGCCTCAAGGACCCATAAAGTTGCCAACTTTATGGAATCCTTACATCCAAACTTCCACAACATGAAGAAAAAGGATAAGGAGCTTAGATCTAGAAACATGCAACATAAAGCTTGGATCTTGAACACTTACAATGGTCCAAAAATGGCTCAAATGGAAACTCCAAGATTACCAAGAGGTTCTCTATACCATAATGTCCTTCCCCGTCCTTCCAAATGCATCAAAACACCAAGGATAAGCTCACAATTGAAGAAAATGGTATTAGAGTTTGCTTCAAGGTTCTAAAGGGTGATGGAGGCTAGAAATAAAGCCCTAAATCCAAGATTAGAGGTTTAAATATGGAGGAAACCCTAAGAGATCATAGGCTTGGGCTATAACTATAGTCACATCGTGACCATACCATTGTCACGTTGTACATCCATCCAGAACGCGTTCTCAAATGTGGCACGTCACGTCGTGACCCCTCTATGGTCACGTCATGACATATGATTTTTCCTAAAAACCATGCCTTTGACTATGCCCTACACTGGTCTATTATGGGAGATGGATGTTACAATAAACTTGTTTAAACCCATCTGATTTCAAACAACTACCACTAACAAGATTCTTTTGAAGCTTGGGAACAAACAAAACATCAAAAAACTTAATAGTTTTTCCAGAATTAAAATCTAAACAAGCGACAATGACACCACAAATAGGTTTAAACGAATCGTCTCCCATGTGTAGCACAAATCCATCTTTAAGCGGTGTTAATGTTTCAAACAATCGTTCATCCTTACATACATGGTTTGTTGCACCAGAGTCAATCCACCAAGCAACATCATCATCATCTGCATAGAATGATTCAGGAATAAGTGAAACATAATAAATATAATTTTGATTAGAATTATCAAAGTTAGTCAAAAACTTACCTCCTTTCACTTGGTCCATAGACCCATTTCCACGTCCACTGGCTATACTGTTTCCAGCACCATTGTTGCCAAGATTCACACGAAAATCACGCTTTCAATTTCCTAATTTGAAGCACCTCCAACAAACCAGTCCCTTTTTCTTTTTGTTGGAATTATTTGGGACATATTCTTGCTTGCGTTTTCCATGTCCTTTGTTGTTCGAATTTCTTGGTTTGTTTTCAACCACATGAACCAAGGGTTGTCCAGATTCAACTTTTCCTTTATTTTAGTCACTTTCATGAGCACGAAGAGATTCTTCAATGCGTAAATGACTACCAAGTTGAACCAAAGACAGTTCCTCCTTTTGATGTTTCAACTTATTTTTGAAGTCTTTCCATGATGGTAGAAGTTTTTCAGTCACACTTGACATATCAATGGTTTCATCCATATTCATTTTGTGTAGTTTGAGTTGACCCAAAATGCAAAAGAGTTCGTTGTATTGTTCCATGATATATCTTGAACTAACCATTTTATAGTTATTAAAATCACTGACCAGAAACTTCTTGCTAGAAGCATCCTCATCCATGTATTTTGATTCAAGAGTGTCCCACAACTCATTTTCACTTTTAACATCACTATTGGTATCGAATAAAGAATCATCCATACCATTCAAAATGTGACCTCTACAGATGTAGTCATCGTTGTTCCAATTGTTCATCCTCCTAGTTTCTTCTATTGTCTCGTTCTCCACCACTTATGGCCTCAGAGTACTCAGCACATACGCAACCTTCAGCATGGTCAACATAAACATCATCTTCTTTTGCCAGCGCCAGAAATTGTTGCCTTCAAACTTGTCCAGTTTTGTCAACTTTGTGGTCAATTCGCAAATTGATTCTTCCATCTCCACCAAATGATAATATCAGTTCGATTGTTGGGGGAATATAAGTAGGGTGCTGGTAAGCAAACCCCTTATGGATTGTGTAAGCTCACTTTCCGAACTGATATTTCCACCCTGTGTCTGCGTTATAGGAAATCCAGTCTAGGATAATCCAAAAGGACACTTGTCTATCTAGGCACAGAAAGACAAGTCAAATCGTCAGAGAGTTCTGAGTTTGTTCAAGAAGAAGAACTGAGAAAAATTTGTATATGGCTTAAAAAATGAGTCGTATATATGCATGACATATTAGGGCTCAATCGTCTAAATTAGTTAGGGAAATCTCAAAATTAATGGCTTAATAAATGGTTTCCAAACTGACAAGATTTGTTAATTTTACCATAATCAACCACTAGAATTCGGTTTTTCCATAATGAAACTAATTCAAATTTCCAAAGACCTTTTGGGGCGTTGCCCCTAGGACCCTGCAAGGGGGTGCGACCCCCTTGACCCCCGTTTTTATGTCGTACCTGTTTATAATTCGATCTTATATATGCATGCACTCCGCATTCACCAAACATATAATATATAATACAAATGATAAGCACTTTAGCTCACATGTTATTTTCATTTATCCAAAATGTCTGGTTGCACTAAAATCACCAACACCAAATTCCCCAATGATGTTTCAAACAAGTAAATGTTTTTAAAAGATAACATTATTTCTACTAACCCGTAAGAGTCATTTCAAGGCAGGATCAGACCAAATTGATATCTTAAGATTCTAGTCGGGATCCGAAAATTTACATATAAATATTGCTTTAAATAGATCCTATACCGTTAAGATAATTTTTGGTGTATAAGACGTTAAAAGATCAAAATCGTTATCCGACAATAGTAGTTATGCTAATACTAATATCGATAAAATAAGATAACATATAATAATAATAAAGAAAAAAGAAAACAGTATGCAATAGGGTGGGAGTAGTTCTTGTCATTTTAGAGTATCCATCTTTGAATAATTTGATGCTCGATACAATTTCATCACGTTTTGACCCAAAGTGTCAAAGTGGTTTGTCCATCTTGGCGTGCAAAGCTACGTGGGTATGAACGTTCCATAGCTTCAAATAGGGGCCTCCTACTACTCACACAAATAATTCACATTGTTATCTATATTTTTAATTATAATCCTTTATTTTACATTTAATGTACATCTTATATCCTTTTTCTCTAATTTAAAAGGAATACATAATAAAATTTAAATATTATTTTTAATAAATTATCTCATTAAAAGAATATATGATATGCTCAAAATAAACTAATATTGAATATGTTTTTATGAAGTTTAGGATAAAATTTACTTTTAGATTCATTGTAAAAATCAATATAAAAAATATCGTTTGTGAGAATACATACACAAACATTAAAATTATTTTGTTTTCTTATAATGATGATATAAAACCTAAAAACTAACAGTTAAATATACAAATAAGTATTTAACACCAATATAATAACCTCTAAAATGGCTTATGGAATATGCATAGTGAAAAAATACATTTTTTTTTAACAAAAAGTAGTTTATATATATATATATATATATATATATATATATATATATATATATATATATATATATATATTGATGTAATGTAAGGAATTTTGAAAATGTGGGGAATTTTGAAGCTTTCCTTTTTGTTAAACAACCTCAAATTTTACTGTATCTAGGAAAATAACATATATGTTATTCTTAAATTTATACACCTTAAAATATTATTTTCTACAACCCACCCCCACCCGCCAAAAGAAAAGTGAATTGCTATAAAATAACACGACATCGCCGGGTTGACACATCTTACTTGCACAAAAATGTCGAGTTTGATGCAAGAAACAATGGTTCCTTTGGTTTATGCTCCACCCTTCTTACTCCTACTCTTCTTTCTCATCAAGTTCTATTATTTTAGTCGACCCTCCACCATGATAAACCTACCACCTTCGCCACCAAAACTGCCAGTGATCGGCAACATCCACCAGCTAGGACCAATCCTCCACCGCTCCCTTCTTGATTTATCCAAACGCTACGGTGGTCCACTGATGCTCATGCGCATGGGCTCTGTCCCAACCCTGGTAGTCTCATCAGCAGAAGCAGCACGTGAGATAATGAAAACCCAAGATCTCATATTTGCCACCAGACCCGAATTGCGAAGGTGGCGTCAAATCCTCTACGATCAAAAAGAAGTCTCGGTGGCGCCTTATGGTGAGCACTGGAGGCAATTCAAGAGCATCTTAGTTATTCATTTCTTGAGCAAGAACAAGGTCGAAGCTTATCGTGAAGTGAGGGAAGAAGAAACGGAGATTGCAATTGAGAAAATCAAGAAATCTTGTAACATGCAGGAGGCGGTGAATTTGACTGATCTGTTCCAAAAACTTACGAATGATGTGGTATGTAGGGTGACGTTTGGAATGAAGTATAGCGAAGGGGAGAGTGGGAGGAAGTTCAAGAACATGTTGAAGGAATATTTTGATGTATTGAGTGAGCTTAATTTTGAGGATATGATTCCATGGCTTTGGTGGGTGGATCGAGTGAGAGGGACTAGTGCTAGAGTCGAGAAAGTTGCTAAAGAGGTCGATGAGTTCTTGGATGGACTGGTGGAGGAGCGGCTGAGGAAACAGTCGACTAGTGGCGACGATGATGATGTTGATAACAGTGAAGACTTCCTTGACATATTGATTAAGATCCAAAAGAAAGATGCTAATAGCCTTCTAGACAGAGATGGCATCAAAGGACTCCTCTTGGTAAGAAAACTCTTTTTGATTAAAATACTGCTATATATTTTGCAAAAGTTTTTTTTAAGGTTCGAACGATATACTTTATATAATTTGTTATGAAAAGGATTTCTGAGATAGTATTAATATCATAAACTAACAAGTAATTCAGTTATTATTAAAATATTGTATTTATATGGAAAATGACTGATTTTTTTTTCGGAAAACTGCGAATATTATAAAAACCCCATCAAGGAGATGAGGAGAAAAACAAACAGTACAAGGAAAAAAAAATGACGATTAGATTGATAAACTTGTTCGATTTTTGATATTTAATAACTTTGAAATTACAGGTGTTCTTTTACCTTCTTTACAGCATTACACCTCCATTTTCCACTTTGAAAATAACTTCGTCAAACCACAGCATTCAAATATTGAAAGTTAATTTGGAAGCTAGCTATTTACTACGTTAATTTATTATATGAATTTATAATTTTATAAATATATCTATATACTGAAAATATCTAATATTATTAGTATGTAGTTTATTTATTAAATATTTTTTGACATGACCTTTGTTGATTTAACAAATTCCTTTCCCTACAGAATTTCCAATTTGTTAGTGTTTATATTTTTCCTTTACATTTTGTTATTTTTATACGGTATAATATATTTATTTTACAAATCCGAAGATTTAGAAAACATATACAAACCTAATTAATATTATTTTCTTTATGATGATAAATATCCTCAAAATTTCTGCAACTTTTTAATATGAAAATATCATGTTGCAACTTTTGCCTAAACGGAGAGTCAATATAAAATTATCATAGATGAAGTTAATTAATTACCATATATATGTCTCTTTTTATTGTCAAAAATATTTGGGAACTGAATAACTGCTAAAAGATATATTATGTTCTTGATAATAAACTTTTTATTATTGTAGGATGTATATACCGCTGGAACAGACACAACAACAACAGTATTGGAATGGGCATTTGCAGAACTTCTAAAACATCCTAGGACTTTCAAGAAACTTCAGGATGAAGTGAGGATGGTTCTTCAGGACAAGAACCATATAAACCAACAAGATATCGACAACATGAAATACTTGAAAGCTGTGATAAAAGAAACTTTACGTCTTCATCCCCCTGCCCCAACCCTAATTCCTCGAGTCTCGAGAGAAGATGCAAAAGTCATGGGCTACGACATCATGAAAGGAACTAGGGTTATTATTAATGGATGGGCCATTCAAAGAGACCCTAAAGTATGGGATGAACCTGACGAGTTTCAACCGGAGAGGTTCTTGGATAATAATATTGATTACAAAGGGCACGACTTTGAACTGATTCCTTTCGGTGCAGGAAGAAGGGGGTGTCCGGGGATGCAATTTGCACTGGTGATAGATGAACATGTGTTGGCTACTCTTTTGCAGAAGTTCGATTGGGAGTTGCCGAATGGAGGTAAAGAAGCGGACCTAGATATGGAGGAAGAGCCTGGCATTACGGTTCACAAGAAGGTTCCTCTTTTGGTCATGGCAAAAGAATTCTCTTCCTAAATCGTATATCATTAAAATAATAGGTTTCATACACCTATGAGTATATGTAGTTAAGCATTTTAATTTTGTCATTGTGTAACCATGTGTTAATGGTGTTTATTTCCACTGTGATAGGTCTTTGAGTGTTTTTTAAAAAAAAAAAAAAACAACAAAAGCAATATATTAACACCTCCCCATCAAGAAGCTAGAGAGGGAAAAAGGGGATGGTCCGGTTATAATAGTGTTATGAACTCAAATTCTCTCAAGATAAAAATAACACCACAAACTGCCGGGATAACAATACTTCTAGGATTAATGAACGAAAACACAGATTGTACAAGAGAATGATAAAAAAAAAAAGAACGAAATAGAGATAGCAATTCGAGCTGCTACGGACGCCCAGAGAAGTAGAAACTTCTAATATCCTTCCATGAAAAACATGACACTCCCCCACTACTCCTTATAACAGGAAATCAACTTTTTGTCCTTAATTCCCATTTTGCCCCTGCCCTCCCTCCATGTCAGCAGAGTCCTTGTGGTTGGTAGTGGTCCCTTGCTCTGTTGGAATCTTTTTCTGTTTTCTCCTTTGATATGTGAATTGAAGTGGTGGGTGCACCACATTATCCTGCCCCCAAAGAACGACCTTGTCCTCAAGGTTAAAGTTTGGAAAGGTGCCCTGAATGTTGGTGAAATCCTCCCATGTGGAGTCAAACTCAGGAACTCCCTTCCATTTGATTAAGACCTCAGGTCGTTGACCCCCTTCTTCTTCCTTGGTACGAACACCTATCACATTTTCTGGTTCCCAATTGAGCCTCATGTCCTCGGTTAAGTAGGCTGGCAATTGTGGATGAACTACTTGGTTGCCAATGGCTTTCTTAAGTTGCGAAACATGAAAAACAGGATGTATTCTAGCGGTGTCGGGTAATTGCAACTGGTATGCCACAACACCAACTTTCTTAAGAATCAAAAATGGTCCATAAAACCTCGCTACCAGCTTCTGAAATGGTCTGTTCGTAACTGACCTTTATCTATACGGTTGTAATTTAAGATAAACCCAATCCCCCTCTGCATAGGGCACATTTCTTCGACTTTTGTCACCCTCATTCTACATCCTCTATTGAGCTTGTAATAAGTGGCCCTTAAGTTCATCCAAGATGGCGTCTCTTTCCAGGAGTTGTTCCTCCACCGTGGATACCCCAGTTTGCCCTTTTTGCACCCTAACCAAACGTGGAGGGTCACGACCATATAAAAGCCTTAAATGGGGTAATTTTGCTGGCTGTGTGATGGATGTTGTTGTGCCAAAATTCCGCCCATGGCAACCACTGTGACCATGAGCGAGGTTTCCCTTGGATGAAACACCGTAAGTAAAGCTCGACATATTTGTTGACAATCTCGGTTTGTCCGTCCATTTGAGGATGGTAAGTGGTGCTCCTTAATAAGTTTGTTCCTTGAAGCTTAAACAATTCCTGCCAAAACAGACTCATGAAGACTTTGTCTCGATCGAAGACTATAGAAGATGGGAACCCGTGTAGACGAACCATATCTTTGATAAAAATTGATGCTATGGATGATGCTAAGAAAGGGTGTTTAACTGCAATGAAGTGAGCATATTTGGTAAGCCGATCCACCACCACCAAGATGGTATTGTACCCATGTGAATTAGGGAGTCCTTCAATGAAATCCATGGACAAGTCATCCCAAACTTGACTTGGTATTGGTAAGGGCTGTAGTAGTCCTGTCGGGTGCGTGGTTAACGACTTTTGGGTTTGACACACGACACAAGTCTGGACATGTTTTTGTACGCTCTTCATCATTCTCACCCAATACCACTCTGCTGCCAACCTCTGGTAGGTTCTGAGTGCCCGCCCACCACCGAATCATGGAATTATTTTAATAACTTTGGGATCAGCTCAAATTTCTGGGTATGACCAACCTCCCCTTATACATCAATCACCCATTCTTAATTGTGTATCCCACGTGGTGTTTCCCTTCTTCAACTATATCTTTTTTGACTTGCTGAATAAAGGAATCTTCAACTATTTCCTTATCCAACTCTTCCACTGGAAGGGTCCAAGTAGAGGTGAGATTATTCACCTCAATTGACTCCATGAATTCTCTTGAAAGAGCATCTGCCACACTATTGGTAGCTCCAGGTTTGGACTGGATCTCAAAATCAAACCCCAACAATTTATACATCCATTTTTGGTATTTCGGCCCTACCTCTTGTTGTTCCATCAAATATTTGAGGCTACGTTGGTCAGTTCTAATTAAGAAATGTCGCCCCATTAAATAATGCCTCCATCTTTTGATAGCCAAGACAATAGCCATCAATTCCTTTTCATAAATAGATTTCAGTCTATTTTTAACCCCCATGACTTGGCTGTAGAAGGCAATAGGGTGGCGATCTTGTAACAACATTTCCCCAAGGCCCGTCCCGGAAGCATTTGTTTCAATGATGAACACCTTGGAAAAATTCGGCATGGCTAGGATGGGTCCTTGAATGAGGGCTGCCTTGAGAGTGTTGAAAGCCATGGAGGCTTGAGGCGACCACTCAAAATAGTCCTTGCATAATTGATCTGTCAGTGGCACAACAATGCTTGCATATCCCGAAATAAATTTTCGATAATATCCGGTGAGCCCAAGGAACCCTCTTAACCCCACAAGGTTTTTGGAATTGGCCAATTTTCAATTGCCTTCACTTTTTCAGGATCAACTGCCACACCTTGCTTTGAAATCACATGGCCTAGGTAAGCTATTTTGTGTTTTCCCCATTCACACTTGGATGGGTTAGCATATAACTCATGTTGCTGCAATATCTCCAAAACTATCTTTAAATGGCAAGTGTGCTGACTTTCATCACGACTATAAATGAGGATGTCGTCGAAGAAAACCAACACGAACTTTCGAAAATGGGGTTTAAAAATCTCATTCCTGACCGACTGGAAGGTGGCAGTGGCATTAGTAAGGCCGAAAGGCATGACATTAAACTCATAATGCCCTTCATGTGTTCTAAATGTTGTTTTTGGAATATCTTCCACTTTCATACGGATTTGGTGGTAACCCGACTTCAAGTTGAGTTTAGAAAAAACTTGTGACCCTTGAAGCTCATCTAACAATTTGTCGATCACTGGTATGGGGAACTTGTCCTTGACCGTGACCTTGTTAAGGGCCCGATAGTCTACACAAAATCTCCACGAACCATCCTTTTTCTTAACCAGCAAGACCAGACTGGCGAATGGGCTTCGAGAGGGCTAGATGATCCCGGTCTTGAGCATGTCATGTAGCAATCTTTCAATTTCTACCGTTTGGCTATAAGAGTACCTATAAGGTCGAACCGATACCGGCCCGGTTCCCTCCTTGAGATTAATGGCATGTTGATGGTTCCTTAAAGGGGTCATCCCTCCCTTCCATGAAAAAACCACAACATATTGTTGTAGTAGTGGCAACAAGTATGGGGTAATTTCTTATCAAGCTCGAAGGTTGTTGTCCCTCCAATTGGTTTAGCTAAACCAAATACCCTCCTCCCACCGACCCAATGGTTCTTATCATTGTTTTTAGAGATACCTTCGCCCTTTCCAGTGAGGGATCTCCTTTGAGAGTAACCCCTTGCCCTGCAACCTGAAACTTCATAACTTGGGTCTTCCAATTAGTTGTCACCGCACCTGGATTTTCCAACCATTGAATGCCTAATATTACATCCGAATTTCCCAAGGTAAGAGGTAAGAAGTCCTCCCACATGTCCAAGCCTTGAAGGTGTAGAATAACCCCTTGGCAATTTCCCTTTCTGGTTACCAATTCTCCCGTGACTAACGAGACCCCAAACCCCAGAGTAGGACTGGCTAGAATTTGAAGTTGCTCTATGGTTCCCAGGGATAGGAAATTATGGGTGGCGTCGGGGTCAATGAGTACCACCACCTCAGTTTCCTTGATTGTTCCCATAAGCTTGAGAGTCTTAGGGTTTGTATTACCTGTAACAGAGTGCAAACAAATTCTAGACAACACAGGGGACCCTGGGCTAATCGGGGTCGAGTCTTCCTCTAATTCCTCAGTTTGGACTTCCACATATGTTTCATCTTCGTGTACTAAGAGCACACTGAGTTCTTTCTTCTTACATTTATGTTTGGCACCCCATTTCTCGTCACAACGAAAGCAAAGCCCTTTTGCTCGTTTATATTGCAGTTCCTTATTAGACAATCGCCTCACTTCCCCCCAAGTTTGTTGGTGGCCTTATATTCTGTTGCCGTGGACAGAGATGGTACTGTGTTTCGATGGTTGGGATTGGGGTTGATGGGTTCCCGATGTTGCTGAGTTTGGAGCTTTCGTTCAACTTTGATGGCCAGGGACATTGTGTGTTCCACCGATAATGGGATCAAGAGCTGGACCTCAGACTTAATTTCATCTTGTAACCCATTAATGAATTGGCCCAAACTAATGTCATCGGGTATGTTGTTTAATGGGGCAAGTAGTTCGATAAAAGAGCGTTGATAATCTAAAACTGACCCAGTTTGAGTTAGGGCAAGCCATTGCTGATGCAACATTCCTGCATTTGTCGGACGAAACTGGCGTAGGAGGATAGATTTCATCTCTTGCCAGCGTGTGACGGGACGACATTTGTGCTCCCATTGAAACCACAGTAAGGCATCACCTTCGAGGGCTACCACTGCCGCTACCAGCTTATCAGCTTCAGAGAGTTTGTAAAAGTTGAAGTAACGTTCTGCTCGTAAATTCCATCCATCCGGGTTCTCACCATCAAACAATGGCATATCCAGTTTTCGAAATCGCCAATTCGTCACCCCACGGTACTCGCCTCCCGCAGTTCGTCCGCCTCCGTCCCCGTTTCCACCGGATCCGCCCATGGTGCCCTGTCGTGAACCCCCGATGTACTCCTTTGAAGGTCCTTTCGATGTCTCCAACACGGAAAAAACAGGCTCATCCGCAACCAAATCTTCTCCCGTTTTCTTTCCTTTGATGATAGCACTCAAAATCTCTTCAAACTTCTGATCCATCTTAATCTGCATCGACGCCAAGGAGTACGCCTGGTTTTGTATTTTATGCCCTTGTGTCTCCATTCGATCATACAAGTGCCCAATCTCTTTTTGCAATGATTCCACCCTTTTGAGTGGAGCTCCTCCCGTCTCTTTTCCTCCAGCCATGACCCCAGGGAAGGGAACTGATACCAATTTGTTATGAACTCAAATTCTCTCAAGATAAAAATAACACCACAAACTACTGGGATAACAATACTTCTGGGATTAATGAACGAAAACACAAAGTACACAGGAGAATGATAAAAAAAAAGAGAATGAAATAGAGATAGCAATTCGAGCTGCTACGGACTCCCAGAGAAGTAGAAACTTCTAATATCCTTCCATGAAAAACATGACGCTCCCCCACTACTCCTTATAACACGAAATCAGCTTTTTGTCCTTAATTCCCATTTTGCCCCTGTCCTCCCTCCATGTCAGCAGAGTCCTTATGATTGGTAGTGGTCCCTTGCTCTGTTGGAATATTTTTTTGTTTTCTCCTTTGATATTTGAATTGAAGTGGTAGGTGCACCACAAATAGCACCCACATCGGTGCTTTATTTCATCTTGCAAATGCTGACTAAGCATATATATTGAAAGCCACCTCAACCTTCTTCTTTCAACTGTTCAAAAAGGCTTCCAAAGGCTTTAGGTAGGCCATATCATTATTATAGTATATTATATGGATGTGTTCTAATTCTTTTAAAGGGCGCATATATCATAATTTATATATTATAGGGAAACATATTGTAATACAAGTACTATTTATATAATATTTATTTTGACCGACAACAAAAAATATATATTACGATTATTCTTTATATATGTTATTTAATTTGACAAGCAGCAATATATATATATATATATATATATATATATATATATATATATATATATATATATCGGGTTAGGTTCATGTGAGACCACTATATTTTGTGAGACGGTGAGACCAAATCTTGACCACTCATCTTGAATAATCAAAGGCTAATATTAAATTAGATTAAACCATAAGGAACATAAAGCAGGCGGGTGCATTTTTGTAAATAAATGGAACTTTGGGATTTGAATAAGACACGGAGGACAGGAATGGAATTTTACGTTCTTTTCCATTCAGCTCACAAAAAACACTCGGTGTTCTTCCTAAAAACCCTAGATGCGAACACTAAAACCCATTTGATGCAAATCTCGATCATCGACATCTTCTGCTTCCTTCACAAATTTGTTTCAGATTAATCATAAATCTAAGTTGATCTTCTGATTCGAGCTCCTTATTCTCATTCTACCCGAAATTCATCTTCCTCCCCAAGAACTCTTCACGACAAAATGCTAACAACATCCCTCCCGATTCCATTTTGTTCGACAAATCTTCCATAATACATTGTGGTTTTGTCGATCTGAAGCGATTTCCGATCCAAATGTTGTTCAAGATTACATTTTGTTTCCCAAATCTCTCGATAAAAACCCAATCTCTAGAGAAAACCCTAAGCTCGTATATACCTAAGCTCGATCGAGAATACATTTGTTTCTGATAAAAATCACCTTGACAAATCTCTCGAGAAAAGCCCTATGAAACTGATTTAAAAATCTTCATCTGATTCAAAAAAAATCAAATTTATCCCTTTCGGGTTAGATTTGGATTTTGATTCTGTTTATGAAGCTAGTGATTCTGATTAGGATCATCAAAAACGGATCGTTCAACACAATCTGGTAAGATAAAACTAATATGTCTTTTAGTTTGTTTTTTATACAATTCTGTTTTCTATGAATCCATGGATTAATTTGGATCACTTGTAAAAACATAGTATTTATATTAAAGTTTGATTTTTGTTGTTGAAATAATAATAGTGTTATTATATTTGTTCTAATTCATGAAATTGTTTACTATAGCAATGGAATTGATTACTGCAACAAGGGTTGGTGGAATATTCACTTAGGAATAGAGGTTTTATGGATAACAAATATCTTGAAATATTGTATTGCATTAATTCTACAAAGCTTTATACACATACGATACGTAATCTCAAGATGAAAATATCTGAAGAAACAAAGGAATGGAGGAATTCCATTATAACGACTTTGATCATCATCATGAACTTGATGTTTCCATTTTAGTCAACATATTCTGAAAATTTGTATATGATATTCTAATTATTCTATGAATTACATGTATGTTTTAGTATAATTTTTGATATATTTTGAACTGTAATAATGTATGTTTTAGTAGGATACTATATATATATATATATATATATATATATATATATATATATATATTGGATTAATACTCTGTATAAATGTCTATATATTATGATTGCTATTATGTGTTATTGTAAAACTTATATATGTCCACATTCATTCTACATAGTCAAATATGATAAAATTGTTTCTATAAATTATTTAAGATATTGTATTTTCTAAATATGTTACTTAATATTGTGAATAATTTTGCTATTACATGTCAGGGGTATGAGGAAATATTTGAGAGGGGATATACAACAATTTTGAAAGAGAAATATAATATGGAACAATTCGTAACTAGTGCATTGTTGGAGTTACACGATTATGGTCAACCAAAAGAATGGATGGAAAACATGGATGATGGCCGACCAATAGAACAGAAGGAAAAGATGGATGATCAGTATAATTAATTCAAATGTTATTATGTTGATTCATGTATATTTCTATATGTCTGCAATCATTTTCATTTTGTATATTGAGATTAATATATATTTCACATATATTCTTGTTTTTAATGTTTATAGGCATTCTAATTTTGATACCTAAATATTCTAGTCATTCTGAGATGTGTAATATTATAAAAAGAATTGGTTTTCTAGTGTGGGTACCGGTCAGATTTTCAACCTTGTGATTCTTAATCTAAAACCAGATCAAGGCCCCGATCATCAACAATTCATGAATCAAAGAAACTGAAGGATTTTATTCCAACAAATGGCTCATTCTACATAATCAGATTCAAATTTTGCATCTAGAGTTATTCCAGGTAACACATAATACTATATTTTCTTCATGATTTTATCTTTGTGTGTGATTTTGAGTTAATGTATTATAATCATTAACTTTATCTCTGCATGTGATTTTGAATTAATATATTCATCTCTAGATATTTTATAAATCTAAGAGTTCTAATTATAATATAGTTATTATTCAAAAATCACTATGTAATGGAATATAGTATTATATAACCTATCACTTAAACTTACATTTATGTGTGCGATATATCTAGAATATATGAAATCATGAAGAGATTTTCATCTAGATGTTAACTCTACATGTAACTCGAAAGTATTCTGATTATCGGTTTTAAGTTATCATTAAAACTCAAAATTAGCAAATTAAAAAGAAAGGTATAACATTCAATATATATTATATCTATTTTTTGTGCATTCCTCATGTCATTCTCATACTGAATGTGAGTACCTAGTTAACCTTGGATAAATCACAGGTGGAGATTTCAACTCATATTTTTACTGATAATAACAATATGTAATTGAACACATGTGATCATTTTACAAAGATTCAAGTTACATATTGGTTAATAAATGAAAGTCTGTTGCCATAATGGCTAAAAAGTAAAGTACAATGTCTATATTAGTAGCAAGAGTGAAGTATGTTACTATTTTACGTAATTTTAAGTATTATGATATAACAATATTATGGTTTCATAATTGATATGCTAGGTATTATGATAAGATAAACCATATGTACTTCATAACTTGATTTTTTTGTTGATTTTATTTAGATGATATAAGGTTTTTTACACATTGAAGTCTAATTGTTTATCATTTTTTTATAGTATATAATACAGGTTTATAGTTTATAACTCCAATCTTATGGAATGTTTGTGTTAACATTAATGTAACACATGTGATCATTTTATAGAGGTTCTATATATTTATTATATTGGTTAATCAATAAAAGTACGTTGTTATAATGGGTAAAAAATAAAGTACAATGTTTATATTAATAGCAAGAGTAAATCATGTTGCTGTTTTCTATAATTCTAGGCATTATGATATGACATGCTTATTGTTCATAGATTATATTCTAGGAAATTCTAGGTATTATGATTTTACATGTTTTGGAATGTTGCAACAATTTGAACTTTCTTATAAATTTTGTATAATATATAATAAAATTGATTAGTTAAAAAACAAAATATAGATATAAAACATTGTCTATATTAGTATCAAAGTTAAAGTATGTTGCTATTTTACATAACTCTATGTATTCTAATATTACGTGCGTATGGTTCATTCTTGATAATCTATGTATTCTGATAAGATAAACTGTATTTTGATATGACATGCTTATGGTTCATAGATGATATTCTAGGAAATTATAGGTATTCTAATTATACATGTTTTAGAATGTTGCAACAGTTTGAACTTTATCATAAACTTCATATACTATATAATAAAATTAATTAGTTAGAAAAAAAGAATATAGTTATAATATATTGTCTATATTCGTATCAAAGTTAACGTATGTTGCTATTTTCCGTAATTCTATGTATTATAATATGACATGCTTATGGTTCATTCTTGATATTCTATGTATTTTGATATGGTAAATTATACGTTACTTCATGAATGATTGTTTTTTCTGCGTATTCTAATTTCATTTGATATTCTAAGTTATATTTACTTTTCAGGAATATGAAAAATGTTTGAAAATGTGTTCAAAATAGTTTTAGTTAGAAAAGAGAATATGAAGAAATTATTTCTAATTATGTATCTATGTTTCCAAATGACAATAGAACAAAAGTATGACAAAGAAGTTCAATGACTTATTTTCAGGTATTATGTTTTCAAGTACCAATAAGCCAGAAAATGAAAAAGAGCGGGTTGGAGCTAAAGAAACTCAGAAACAAGGAACATGGAAATGGTTGAAAGCTGAAGATGGCGACCAAGTCAATAAATTTGATTTTGTTGATGTAGGTTGATGAAATATGGAATTGAAGCAAGAGATGCACTGGAAACGAGTGAAAAATAGAATTGTTGCAAATTCGAAAGTTTGGAAATATGGTTATGTAACATGAAAACATTTTCTTTTGTTATGTTTTTTTGAATAAATTAGATATTAATGATTGCTTAATGTTTTGTAAATCA